GTGGCTTAATACAGTGTGCCCATTCCTCATTTAGTCATCTAAGTGCTTTATTAGTACATATTTTAAAGAGTCTCAGGGGACTGCAGCTTTGAGTCTACACATCCCATAAACTGTTATCTAAAACTCTCACTAATTATACCCAATCATACACACAAACACAAACATAACTCTCAAATGTTTCTTCGCTGTGACCTAGAGGGATCCAACAGTGGAAAAACAAACATGGTGTATTCTAAAAGTGGGTTATGGGGAAATTATGAAACTGGTATGGAGGAAGAGGAAAGGAAGGGAGGCAAAAAAGGTGGGCTCTCCCAATTGAAATGAAAAACAGGGTCTTCCCCTTTTTCATCTGTGGTCATTTTCAACTAAAACTTGCAAGTAATTCATCAGGCCTGTCAAATCTGGAACAGCGACTATGTGATCATCTGAATCAATTTTTTTTTTACATGATGTTTTGTCTATAAACAGTGTCTTACGAATGACCATAGGGCAAATCTACTGTACAATGACAATGTATCACACAATCACACAGCTGATATTTGTGCAACAGTCCTCCAATCAGTCCGCTGTACTGCCAAAAAACAAAAGCAAAAAAGGACACTGTTTTAGCTTAAAGGGACATTGTGTAGTGTTTTAAGTATTTTATTAGCTAAAATCAATGTCTTCATTCATAAATGTGTCCTCATTGGTGTAAAATTACCTCTGCCAATGATCTGACTTATCCTCGTAAGCGAAGAATTTCTTACCTGTATATACATTGGACGGGCAAGTCCATGGAGGCTTCCATGTCGTTCCGCCATTTTGAAAAACTATAATCGCCGAGAGGGACATAAAGCACTAGCTTACCTGTCTAGCTAATCCACAACGCGTTTTCGTTCAGAGCCAGCATCACGTGACTGAAACCAGCTATAACGGAGAAGGAGATCAGTGAGAGGCGCTTGTCACTGCCCCGGCACATTTGAAAGTCTGCACTGCACTTTAGTTCATAATGGAGGATCATACTCATGCCGAGCCACAGGAGAAGGAATCCTCGTCGCCAAAAAGCGAATAAGGGAATTAAAAAGGCAACGTGACCAGCGAATTCAAAAAACGAGGGTAAACATCTGGGTAGCTTTTCCCAGGTGGAAAGAGCTAATGAAGGAGAAAGACTTTCAAAGGGACGCTGAAGTTGCCTACTTTCTCCTCGACAAGTAGGCTTCTTGGTATATAACGGCTACCGTAGTTGCAATACGCATTTGGAAATGCGAGGCAGTAGAGAGCACTATTCGTTTGAATGCAAAATACAATTTCACTGCTAGATGGGAGAAATTCCTACACAATGTCCCTTTAAGTTATTTCATTAGCATGGGAATTTGTCATTGACTGACAATGACCTTGAGCCAATGTACTATAACCAAAACAAGTCACAAACTCTGTGTAAACTCTGTTTAGCAGAAGATGTAATGACCTAATCAACAAAACTGCACCATAATTCTTCATGCCTCTTGGTCTTTTATTGCTAATATATTACATATCTCATCACATCCCTTTAACTGATTGGTCTACAACCTGAGAGAGGCCCCAGGCAAGCACGCAAGCATACACACAAGGCACTTTCTTGCTGATTGGTGGCTCATTAAGGTGAAAAGTGAAATGGAACAGACCTAAGAGGAAACTGAGCAACACACACACACACACACACACACACACACACACACACACACACACACACACACACACACACACACACACACACACACACCTTACCTACAGAGAAGGAAATTGATTTCTTCAGAACATAGGGAGATCAAAAGGCTTATTATAATTGGTTTGTAAATGTGGCTGAGCTCACCCACCCACTCTCTCAAGCACATACAACAGCATGCAGACACCCCTGCACTGACAAACATGCATTCATCTACAATGAACTTGTGATAAAGGAAGGTGCTGTTGTGTGTCTAGGTTATGCAGCAATATATATAGCAGAGAAATAGCATCACAAAGTGTCTAGAGGTGGGGTGGGAATCTCCAGGAAAAAAAAAACAACGAGGTTGTCGTACTACAACAGACGACAGAAAGACAGTGATAAAGACTGAGACACAGAAGAGGGAAGGGTGTAAAGGCTGGAGAATTGGGATATGAAAATGATCCTCACATTATGAGGATTAATAATCATATATGCTCCTGGCCCTTTTCTCTCCTTTTCTCTCCCGAATCAAATTAATCACCACCGCTCCCCCTAGCCAAGCCTTTCCCTCTGCTCACTCTCCTTTTCTCACCCACCTCCCTCCATCTCTTGCTCTCCCTCTCATTCTTTTGCTAATTGGGCTATCTGAGGTGCCGACTTCAAAAGGCACCTGCTATCAAACGCAGATGAAAAAGTGAGAAAAGAACAGTTCAGGATATATATACACATATTACATGAACAGTGTATGAAATCAAGCGTCGTCACTGTTCTTCTGCACTTTCCCAAAAACTAGCTAGCTATGCATAAAACCCCCCTCTGTTTGGATTCAGTCCACCTTTTATAACTACATTTGTTATTATTATAAGAATATAAAATTATAAGAGAGCAATAAAAACAAGAAAACATAAGCACTTCAAAGTGAGGATATGAGAACCAGTAGCTTAAGGGATAAGCTTCCCGCCTAAAACCTTACACACTAGACTAATGCTTCACATACTCGCTCATCTAAACAACTTGGCTGTTTACAATTGCAAATAGTCATATCAGGTCTCTAATTATAAGCCCTTACACTCCAGAGGCACAACTATGGAAAAAAAATAATATAGACAGAAAGAAGATGGCAGTATAGTAGCACCATGTCTCCACAACACATACTGCAGTGGAATTTGGCTAGTTACAAACGAATACATTCTTGTGAATACTCTAGATGGAACTTAAAATAGAATTTTATATCACACCAAGCTGCACTACAGATGTACAGTGCAACAGCTTGCTATTATCTCATCAGTTCAACCATATTCACAAGCTCAGTAACCTAAACTGCAGCATGCAGTCTTACTAAAAGTTAGTGCTAAGGTAAAGTGAAACAATTATGCCCACCACTGGTTTATCAACAATACACAAAGGAATACACTGGACCACAGAGAAAAAGCAGGCAGATAGTCTGAGAGAATATACCCAAAAGGCTCCTGGAGGTGGCACCCTGACATCCTCAATAAAAGCCTTGCTTAATGTATTGACTAACTATTACATGCAAATTTATTATCTCCAATGTTGACAGCTCAGTTTTGCATGTCCATCCTGGAGAAAAAGACGTTAAGCAGCATGGTACTACTAAAGGTGGCCTTAGCTGCATTCGTTGTTCACAACGCAAATTAAGTAGTTTGAGAGGAGAGAGGTGAAAAGTCTTGAGGTAAAGAAGACTGGACAGGAATAAATCAAGTAAGGTGGAACTTTTCTCAAATAGTAGTGTGGATATGTTATGTTCTTCCCTGACCTCAGAACCACTGTTGAAAATACATAGTCATTTCATCTGCTCGTTGGGGCAAAATCCAACTTAACATTACAAAACCATCACCTCTGCCCTTTTTCCAGGATTTCTTTAGTTAAAATCTGAGAGAGAGAGAGAGAGAGAGAGAGAGAGAGAGAGAAGAGAGTGCAGATAGAGATACATACATAGCTAGGGATATACAGATTGAAAATATAACTACATAGAAAGAGAGAAAAAGATGCAGCCATGTACAGCCCGAGGGCGTGTCTCCCACCATCAGCTCTCTGCTCTTCCACCGAGCCTCAGAGGTCACCCCTGACCCTGCCCTGAGCGCACTACCCCCTGCATGTCTGTTTTCTGTGTGTGTGTGTGTGTGTGTGTGTGTGTGTGTGTGTGTGCAAACCCAGCTGCGCTGCTGGGCAGCTGATGGAGAGGAGGAAGAAGGGTCAGGAAGGGTCAGCGGTGGCTCGGTGTGGTGTCGGTCTGGTTTTGCTGGGTAACGAGGAATGGGAGGCGCAAGAGAAGGAGGAGGAGGAACAGGAGTATGAAAAAGAGATAAGCCGGGCTCCCAGAGGTGAGGGATAAGGAGATGGATAGGGAGGTCAGGAGGTATGTATTAGGCCTTGAGTGGTGTGTTTAAGCAGGAAAAGGAAGGACGAGAGGTGAAGGGTCAATATGCATAACCAGGCATAGTGTGGATTAAACTACACAAGCACACTCACAAGGGCAAACAAAGCTCAATGAAATACAAATTCTGTTTCAAATAATGTTTTATTTCTAACTATCAAACTTTAACAGATTCAAAACACGCACAGGAAATCAGCAAAAGATACAGAGCAATAAACACACTGAACCTGGTCTCTCTCACACACACAGACACAGACACACAGACAGACAGACAGACAGACAGACAGACAGACAGACAGACAGAGATATAGATACAGTACACCCACACAGGCAGACATACAGACAGGTGTGAGGCTATGAAAAGGCCACGGTGTCTTTATAGTCAGCTCTCAGAAAAGGTTATTAGACATCAACCGGAACAGGCGGCTGTCTCAGCCAATAAAAAGTGGAGGCGTGGGTGCACGGGCCAAGGGGGTGCGGGGAGGAGAGGGGGTCAAATCAAGGAGTGACAGGCGGACGTTAGGACTTGCCATACAGGTGAATGCAGATGGGACAGCTGCCATCACTGACATTTAACTGACATCAACAGCTAGCATCAGCCATTTGTGCATGTGCACTTTTGTTTATGTATATGACATGAGAGGTGTGTCTGTGTGTGTATGTGTATCGAGACTGAATGTGAAGGTCAGATGGAATTATATACACACCCACACACACTGTCTGTGAGTGATTTCCTGGTGTCCTGGTTATGGAATGAATATGGAGGAGTTAGAGCAGAAGGCTCAGTGACACTGGGACAAGGTGATAGGAGTGGACAGGTGTGCGTGTGCGAGCGTACGCCCGTGTGTCAGCGCTTTGTGCCAGGACAGCAGGTGGCTAGTCAAAGGACATCAGTGACCTTCTCCTTATCCCTCCCTCTACCCTCCTCCCTTTGTCCATCTCTCCCTCTGTCCCCAAGTCCCAATTCATCTCACCCGGTAGTGAGTGCTCTGTCTCTGCACAACAAGTCATGGGCACATTGAGAAGATGAACACATACACAAACACAGGTGTGAGTGGTTTATTCATGAACCTGTGTGTGATGCTGTTTTGACACAGTGTTGTTGAATAATGTAAATGTGCAGTGTGTCCTCCAAGCAGAGGAAGGGGAGGGTGAGAAAGGCTGAAGATGTGTGGAAAAAGAACTAAATGGAAGTGTGTGCGTGATATTCTTACCTTTAGTGGCTGATGGAAGCAATGCAGGAGAATTGAAATAGACATGGAGTCAGGGAGAGAGGAGAAGGAAGAAACAGAGAAAGACATTGCTCATTATTGTGAAACACAACATGATAACAGAGATAGTAAATACACACAAGCTACACACTCACTCTTTGTCTGCGAGGAGAAGGCCAAGGTGAGTTTGGCAAAGAGCTCATTGTTTTCAAATTTCTCCTCTTTTGCCTTGGTCCAGAAACTGTTCTCAGAGAGGTCCTCTGGTCCAATCTAAGAGAAACAAATGCCAGTATGTACAGAGGGACACAGAGGGAGACAACATTTTGAAGAAATAGATGTATTGTATGTGTTGGATAACCATATAATCAAATTGACTCAATTTTCCAAAAATGGGCAACTCTGCACCTGGAAAACAATGAGATGAGCAGATAAAGAAGTTGAGAGAACAAAAGAAACAGCAAGGCTGTAAAAGGAAGAGGCAGGGGTATGAAGTAAAAGGAGGGGAGAAGGATAAAGGAAGGAAGGAAGAAAGGCACAAAGAGGAAAGGGAGAGGAGGAAACAAGTAGTCATTTTCTCTAATCTTTGCACACTGTCTCTACCACAAAGCGTCTTGAGCTTCACACACAGAAAGGCAAAGAAATACAGAGCGCTCCACTTTTGTTCCTCCCCTTATTCTTTCGTTCTTCACCCTTACTCAGGAGGTATCTCCATATCCCTCCCTTTGTCTTAGCGTTGCTCTCTCTCTAGTCACAATTAACTTTGTATGTTTTTCCCTCCCTTTCTGAGTGTTCTCATCAAAGGGAAAGAAAAAGAGAGAAAGAGAAACAGAGAGAGCGAGTGAGAAAGCGGTGGTAGTAAATTTACAGATATCAGTCCTTTCATTATGGACAAAGCCTCAGGGATGGGGGCGTAGGACGGAAAAGACAGAGAGTAGGGAAAGGAAATGTGATATGGGGATGAGCTGAAGGAGCAAGAAAGAAAGCAAGAGAGCACGCAAAAAGGAGGAGACCAAGCCAGAAAAAAAAAGTTAATTTAAATTACAAAAGAATACTCTCCTTTCTAGCAGCAATTTAATTATCTTTCAGTGGCGCAGTTAAAAGTAGGAGGCTTATTAAAAAGCAATTTCTGTGACATCCTCGTCAAACACTCTCAACAGCCCGAGAGAGAGAGAGAGAGAGAGAGAGAGAGAGAGAGAGAGAGAGAGAGAGAGAGAGAGAGAGAGGCTAAATGCTGATGAAGTCTGCTGAAGCCATTAAACAGTAGCTTTAGGCTAAAGAAAGACAGAGGGCCGTTTTGATGTTTTAACCATCACAGATGAGAGGGAGGAGAAGAACATGAAGCACATAGTCATGAGATACACGTATGCATGCAAGTCACTTTAGGTCAGAATCTCACTGTTAAAGCTCCATCTCACAGTTCTCTCACACTGTTGCATACAAAAAAGCATGCCCTGAGCTATTTCAAATTGTATCAAAAAACTTAGCACAGCAAGACAAATACAAATTTTAAACTTAGTATAATTAAAAATAAAATCCCTCCCTTTTTTACAAGTGCATTAGGCTCATGTGATAATGAGGAGGTGAAATACAGCATGCTATATCAGTTGCCATCTGCCTAATTTTCTGCACTGGCATAATTTTTTTTGCATCAGGACAGATTATCAAAACTAGAATGTATGCCTCCCCCACCAATCAAGCTGCAGTCTACAATAGATTCTTAAATCCATGTCTGTCCGGACTACACACCAATTCATTGTCTGATCAACTGTGAAATATGGTCACAATCTGTCCCTGAGTTTTAAATAATGGCCAAAAAAGTATTTTTCCAGGACATTATGATGTCTCAGTCAAGTTGACCATTGACCTTTGATGAAAAAAAACATTCATCACATCATAATTTTTTTCCCCCGGTTTTGTCATAATAACCACATACATTTTTGAGTTATGACCAAAAACATGTTTATCAAGGTTATTCTGAGAGTCAGCGAGTAAGTACGAAAACTGTCACCAATTAATTGTCCCACCAAATATGGTAGTCTTGAGTGGTAGTCTCAACTTGGTAGCTGAGAAACTTCTGGCTCTAATACAACCAAACAACTGTGGCAGAAGTACCCATCAAACTGACTGAATAACATAAGATAAGATAAGCTGTACCGTTATTGATAACTATGGGCTATTAAATATTTACATCACCTGAAATGTTTGCAATCATTAAACACTGATTGTATTGAACCATCCATCTTAGGACTGACCTTCCTCCAGTTGGCTCTCTTCAGCTGGACTTCAGGCTTGTACTCCTTCTTATGCTGGAGCCCAAAAGGCAGAGCAGCGGGTGCGGGGGCACCCCAGCCTCCCATGCCTGGCGGTGGAGGAGGCATACCAGGACACCCAGGCGGTGGAGGAGGCATACCAGGAAACCCAGGCGGTGGCGGAGGTGGTGGAGGTCCCATTCCAGGTAAGGGTGGAGGGGGTGGTGGTCCTGGCATGCCAGGGAGGGGTGGAGGTGGTGGAGGTCCTGGCATGCCAGGTAAAGGAGGTGGAGGTGGAGGAGGAGGAATACCGGCATGACCCGGTAAAGGAGGGGGGGGTGGGGGAACAGGCATGTTTGCATGGCCTGGCAGGGGTGGGGGTGGAGGTGGAGGGGGAATACCTGCACTCTGGCCAGGGAGAGGAGGGGGAGGTGGTGGAGGAGGCAAACCGGGCGTTGGCACAGGAACAGTAACTGTGACAACTTTAGTCTTCGCCTCTTCCAGATCTTTAGACAGCTTTTCAATCTGCAGGGAAGTAAGAATACAGTACACTATTAAACATATTGATTAATCAACTACCAAACACACTACTATATTTCCAAACCATAAGCATTAATTTATTATATTAGCATGACTGTGTATTGTTTGTTGTACATTTCTCAAAGTGACATTTTGTATAGATTTGCCAATTTCCACCATTTCCAATGAATAGCCATGCCAACAGAGTGATTAGATTATAGACAAAAGGCAGAACAAAAGAAGGGAAAGAGTTACATAGAAAGGGATTAAAGCCTGGGCAGGGTTGAGTTTTGGGAGAGAGAGGGGGAGAGAATGGAGTCCAAGGCACTGAGAGAAAAACATAGCAGTAGGGAATTAAGTCCACAGAGGAATTCAAAAGAAAAAGTTTTAAAAGAAACTAAATTAGAAGTGAGGGTAAAACATTTTTTTTTATTTTAACACTGAAATACTAATTTCAGTATTTACATTAGTGTGGGGACAATTCTTAAGAAAACGGTCTAAGTCATTACAGTTATTCAGCTAATACTGGCATATGAGAGAGAAAACTGGGGTTTGAATGGGAATAGTATATTCTCTGTGATTTAAGGCATACAAGTATAAAGACTATTTATTTATATATTTATATATATATTTATTTATTTAACTAGGTGTGTAAAGTAAAGAGATCGCATGTATGTGTGTGAAAGAGTGTCTATATGCAGCGTAACAAATTGTTTGTGTTGTTTCCTCCTCAGACTTTGAAAAGAAGACAGTAACAGACATAAAGGGCCTCCGAGGCAAGCTTTCTTAGTGAGGCAGCAGATGAAGAGTTGGGCACACCATCACACAAAGGGACAGTGAGAGATCTCTACATGTGAAGAAATCTTCGATGGGCAGTGCCTCAAACACAGAGAAAGTGAGCTATCTTAGTATGAGAAGCTTGTTAGATGCCTGGCTGGTGATGCTGGTGATGCTGTTGATGCGTTAGACAACTGTGTGTGCATATGCGTGTGTGTGTGTGTGTGTGTGTGTTTGGGCTTTTGTGTGGTGAGAAGATGACTCCGCTGGCATCAGCCCCTTTGGATGAGGCTCATTTTGGAATCTGTGTAGTTCTCTTACAGACAGACAGACAGACAGACAGACAGACACACACACACACACACACACACACACACACACACACACACACACACACACACACACACACACACACACACACAGACATCTTCATGTGGTTATGAGCACACATGCAGAGGCAGACTGTTCTGGGTCACTTGGTGTGTTTGTGAGTTTGGGTGTCACTGTGAGGCAGGGTCCAGCTGGTGTGGCAGCAGGACACTGACAGCTAAACAATCCTCATCTTTGCCTCCCTACTGTATGAGTGTACATACACACGCACACGCGCGCACACACACACACACACACACACACACACACACACACACACACACACACACACACACACACACACACACACGCGCACACACACACACACACACGTGTATCTTGGCCTTAAAAATTCAGTTTGTCCCGTCTCCATCCTTTCCTTTTCTTCTTCTTTCTTCTCCCTTTAGTCACTCTTTATACTCACATTTCCCTACTTCCCATGTTTTTATTGGGTTTCTTAATCTCTAAAGGATTTGGCTTCTTCTCACAATATCCTTTTAGTTTTTTTCCTCTTTTCATGCCATGCTAGCAGTTGGCTAAATCATTTAAGGCCAAGGGGCTTCTGTGTTTGTGTGGGTGTGCATAGATGTTGGACAACTTTTTGGTGCTTAGACTTTGCTTAAGACTCAACTCACTTTTAATTCAATGAATGCAGGAATTCACTTCAAGATTAATTCACATAGTAAAAAAACATATTGAGAGAACTGTCATATTTAGCTTATTGGCTCCACAGTAAACGAAAAACACTTAAAATGCAAACAGCTTCTATCTAAATTTTGAATTATTTGGCATTGAGCCCCACATAGACAGGTGTGTGTGTACGTGTTTGTGTGTACCTGCTGTTGCAGAGTGCTTAGCTGTTGTTGTAGTCCCTGGTTCTCCTTTTCTCGCTCCAGCTTAGAAGAGGCCAGCTGTTCCTTCTCTTGGCTCAAGTCCTGCAGCTTGTGCTCATAGTCCCCCTCCAGTTTCTTCAGCTCCACCTGCAACTCGTGGCGTGCCGTCAATTCTGCATCCAGCTAATACACATGTAAAGGGTCATAAGAAAGGACAGACTCAGTTACAGTATCCTAAAAAGTGTTTCAAAAAGTTTAAAGACGCATCATCTTGAGGGAAGAAAACAATGTTTTCACAGATTTCCTTTATAAAAAAAGTCCAATTAGTGCCAGGACTACACAAATACAGCACCACTATTATTAAAAGGGTGTTCCTGATATGTTTGTGTAATATTCAACTAATTGTGTGCAGCTTTGACTGCAGTAAAAGTACCAAGAGTGATAGCCACATCCACCTGGCAAACAAATCTCTTTTTCTGAAGATAGTAGGCACGGACATATCAGCCATAAGACTGTGTAAAATGAATAAAGAATGGATATGGTGGTATTGCTGCAATATGGAAGGGGCACCAGTACAGGATTAGGGTTGAGTGAGAAGTCAACAAAAGCAAATATGTTTTTTAATTTTTTTTAACAATTTCATTTAAAAGGATGACTAAAAAAATTAAATGAATATCAACCCAGAAGCTACCAATGGGAGCAAAGAGTGTTTGTATGCACAAGCTTTTAGCCTCCCCCTCTTGAAGCTGCAGCAGCTTCCGTATCACAAAGACCTGCAAAAACCATTTCCTGCAGTCTAGTGCTTTCAGTTTCATTGTATAATTTACACTGTAAATTAGTGTCAATTATTAAGTTAGGATGCTTCGGTGCACTTGTATGAATTCACTTCTCACTTCCATTTAAAGCCTTCACGTCCATTAAAAAGAAAAAGAGAGATAGAGAAACATTTTACCCCCAATTTAAATTTTTTCACTTTCATACACTTTCAAGGATTTTTCTTCTAGGACACTTGACAAACAGGATAAGAGTATTTAAACAGATGAATCCATGAACCCACAGACACACATGGCTGTTTAATTTGCCGACAGCAGATCCGTTACTCTCGCTGTCAGCGTCCTGACAGCCTCATTCCTAATTCCTGCCAGAGACTGCCTGCAATTACCCCATCATACACAGCCAGCACTAGGGTGTATGTGTGTGTGTGTGTGTGTGTGTGTGTGTGTGTGTGTGTGTGTGTGTGTGTGTGTGTGTGGTCAACGAAAATTAATCCAAGTGCGTTCATGTAATGTGTGCTTATGTGGATAGGCATGCGTTCAATTGATATGATCCAATGGGAGAGTGTGTGTGTCTTTATGCGTGCCTGAATGAAGGCTAGTTTCAGCTCCCTCTTCGCAATTATCCTGTCACTGGGACAGAAACATCAGGGTAGTAGCACACCGCAATCAAGGCATTTACCCCCTTGTGTGTGAATGTGAGTGTGTTACGTGTGTTTTTTCCTAGCCTCTAAAAGTATTTTTGTCGGGTGGCTGTCAGACATGTGTATGCTCATTCTCTTAGTCACCCTCTGTTCCTGCCTTTTTCTCATTTGTCAACCCATGTCAGCCAGACAACACTCGCATAGACTTTCATTACTATCGCAATGTGTTTAGGTGTGCGAGGGGGAAATGTTAGACTTACGATGCATGATTTTCTTTAGGGTCTATATGATTGTAATAGCTTGTGTGCTCCTGGGTTGATGCGTAAATATGTTATACAGGCTATATGTATACAGCATGTTGTTGTTGATGGTGTTTGTGTGTGCGTATTTATGATTTTCAGTGTGAATGAATTGGTGTATTTCACCTTCTTCTCCAGTTCATTTGCCTTGGCAGCACTGACTTCCACCTTGGTCTGGTCCACCATGTTGTCTGTGAACAAACAGAGAGGACAGAAGCAAGGAAAAGAGAAGGGGACAAAAAGGTGGTGGATAAGATAAGGGTTTCAGACAACGGACCTGCACACGTCTGGCACTGAAGACATCGCACCCTTCAGCCTGGCACATACTGTGTACACAAATACATTCACAAACAGACCCATACACACGAAACAAGTGTCCTATGTGTCTCCCTATTTTTCCCTTATCACACTACTCAGTCAAGATCCCTGAGACGATTGTGGAGGCATCTCATTACAATAGGATGCCATCTGTTGCACACTGCTTCTACACATAATTTCCTTTTAAGCCTCCAATACATACACCTCTATCTTACTCTGTGTATGTGCGAGAGAGGTGGGAGCACACTAATTTCCCTCTATCCGAAATACGTCTCTCACCACTTTATTTCAAAGTCTTATATGGACCCCTCCCTTTTCCGAAAGACTATCCAAAAATAAAAGAAGACTATATAACAGTGTGGGAGTAATCCATTATCAGAGGTTCTGCTTGGCAGAAGACAGGGTGAGAAGGACACAGGCTAACCAACAGGGTACTCTTACAGAATAATTGCAGGGTCTACAGGTGGTTCAGTGCCCAAGGGCTTGCCGAGCATGTGAAATAAAAGAGCTAATTAACATGAAGATGAATGCCACAAAGTCACTGGATCAAAGACAGCTAATCATGATGCCTAAGACAGGGTTCGAACAGCAGAGATAGAAGAGCTGTGAAAAGCTATAATGGAAAATTTAAAAAATACATAAATCTGTAGAAAGTGAATTAGATAGATAGATAGATAGATAGATAGATAGATAGATAGATAGATAGATAGATAGATAGATAGATAGATAGATAGATAGATAGATAGATAGAAGTGTGAGTCCTCAGTTGCAATGAAGATATGTTGAGTGGAAAAAGGAGTTATGTATATCTAAATAAACTAGTAAGCAAGGCAGACAAAAATGTGAAATCCATTTTTGGAAAGAGAAGGTTTTGCCAGATGAAAGAACCTCACAATATGCCAACCCACATACAATTTCAGAGTGTGCATTTGTGTGTGAGTTTACATGGCTATTGGATGTGTAATGGGGGGGGTGTTACTTCTGTCATGGTGGCTAGGCTAAATGGGACAAACTTTGAATAGAGAGCACTAAGGGAGCCAGAATGTGGGGGAAAAAACTGTGCTGAATTTCAGAGTTCAAAGAAAAACACTAAATAATGCATGCAGGGCAGAATTGGGCTGCTTTCCACCGATAATAACTCTGGCAGCCTTAAAGGAGGCCAGCCAGCCAGCCCGTGTGTGTGTGTGTCAGGACGCATTTAGAAGCAGTGCAATTAGAGCCTCCTGCGGTGAGCAACGGAGACCTGCCATAAAAGAGTATTGAACTCTTGAGACATGGCCTGCACCTCCATTCTGCTCTGGTTTAGTTTACTATAGTCTGCGGGTGTTTCCTAGTCAACATCTCGAGCTGTCACTCAAGTCCAAAAATTTTGGCAAAGTTCAGCATTTCATGTTTGTGTTTATTGGAGTGACATGAAATGAAATGGATCAGTGACCATGATCATAATACTTTCTTGATCTCCATAAAAAGCTGGTAGGGATTCTGTGTCTTGTTCACAGTCACTTCAAACCTGTCTAAACTGTTTTTGCTTACTTTAATCATTCCTCTTTTTCATACTGGCTATTAAAAGATCCTTTCCTAATACGGTCCCAATGGAAAGGAAGGGGGGACAAGATCTGCAGTCCCCATTCTGTGCAAAAATATGCTCCAAAGTTTATCTGAAGTTAATATCAGGCTTTAAAGTTAAACAAATCAAGTGAGTATCTTTGTCATTTTAGAATTTCCTTTTTCTGTTTCCCCAGAAACTATTGCTGAGCTGAAGTGGAGGCATAGTAATGCAAAGAGGGGGCTTTGCAATGAAAGGACAGTAACTTCGGAAGGACTATAGATTCCATTTACCCATCACTTCCATTCTTTTAATGACCAGTATGAACAGGAATGATCACACCAAGCAAAACCAATTTCAATGTTCATATGGGCATGACATACTGATAAACTGCCCTTTAAACATAGAGGATGCTTGCAGACACACATACCCATGCACAGTTGACTTTTATTATATTGATACATTCACCACACCTGAAAGTTACCATCTAAACAATGTATCATCGTGTGTCAGGAATTAAACATTCGATAACGATACAAATAAATCTCACCTACTACATTGTGAACTCAAACTCTGGGATTGCTCTGTTTGATCAAGTGTTTGCCCTCTTGATAAAGTTCAGACCTATGACTCTCAAACCTGTAGCACAATTCATTCCACACTGTGACACAGTCTCTGTCTGGCTCCACCCAGTGGTGTTTCTGGGCCACTACACATTTGTCAACCATGAACATAGACATGGTAACGTGAAGTATGACCAAATAAATGTTGAATCACATTGGGCAAGTATATTGCCATTGACAGCAAACTAGCAATTATGTCAGTGATTGGAGTGGGGTAGGCCAAAAGTGAAATATGGTTAAAACTTTGAACCCACATACCTGGTCCATGTGCATGAATATGGCTCTAAATTCTAAGGGTGATGGGCAAGAGGGCACCACCAGAAAAGGAAGGACTTGGTTGTGTGTTCTGGTCTAACAACTCACCTATCAAGCTTTCAATGTTGAGGCTGAGGTTACGGCACTTGAAGTCAGGGTCTGCTCCATTCCTGTGCAGCACAATCTGAGCGATACACTCATCTATCAGCTTGTAGTACTGAGGCCTGCAGAAAGGAGTGACGGATTCACAAAGAGATGAATTAGGAGACAGGATGAAGATAAAATGAGAAGGATAGAAGAATGGCAACAATGGAGAAGTTTATACATGGTTCTGGGAAGAAAAGAGAAAGAATTCCACTCTCTACAACATACTCTGCATGTTGTGTCAACAATTATAGCAAATGTATGTAATAAAAAAATCTGGCACAGCATGTGAGTAAAGGATGGGATTGACAAAGAGCAAGCAGGTTCATTTGCTCAGACAAATGTGTGAACACGCATGCTTTGTCACTTTGTCTGCAACTGAGATTGGCTGTCTGTGTGAGCATGACGGTTTGAGTTTCTTGTCACAAAGATTGATTGTGTGCAACTGTGTTCGTGAGAGTGTGTTGATGTATGTCCAGCGCCCCGTGTCTGATCAAGCCAGCTCCACACAGACACTCAATTTTGGAGGTGTCTTATTCCCTGACCCCATTAGATGCTGCCAGAGTCACAAACTCAATACTTTATTTATTCAGTCTCCCTCCCTCCCCTGTCTCTCTTAGTCAATCTGCCTTTGTCTAACACTTATTCTACTCCTTCAATATACTTCAAGGGTTTTTTTTTTTCTAAAGCTCAGATTTATCCATGGAGCGAGAGAGACATCTAGTGTCGTACTGGAAAACTGAGTCAAACAGAAATGACTTTGTATTTGGCTACATCCTAAATCTGGCATTCTTCATAAGCCTGAACAAATTAAATTCAAACATTAGGTATATTAGGAAAAAGGTGGTTTGTAGGCCTAAGGCTATATACATTGTGATAATTCCTAAAATAAATATAAAGATGTCATGGTTTTTTTTAAACTACATCTATTACACACTGTACAGTCTGTGCATGATTTCAAGTATGACCATTTATATGAGTGCATGTGTGTGTTCTAGTAAATTCCCAGGCCTCCATCTCGACTTGAGATTGAACCACAGAAAGACCAAGAATGAAAAAAGACCCAAGTAGCAGGTACTCTTTCATTGATTCCCACAAATACTAACCCTTCCAATCCCTGTAAGTACCTCCCTCATTCTCTCAACATTACCTAGCAATTTACCACAACTCTCAATTTCTTCTTCATTATTGTCTCGCCCTGAACCTCCCTTCTCTTTTCATCTCTGTAATTATCAAACTGTATTTTCTGCCACTCTAGAGCTCTCCTCCCACCCTCACTTCCTGTCTCTCTGTGGAGCCCATTATAGACCAACTCTATTGTGTACCACTGGATCAACTGGATGGAGAGAGCAGGATAAGAAAGAGGGAGGAAGACAGAAATGACTCAGTCGGGGCTATTTGTTTGGGCGAACCTACCTTTTCCATCCTAACAATTTATTCCCCAAACTGTGTTAAATATAAATAACATTTTCCTGCCTGTCTGAAAATATCAAGGCAACACCAGACCAACAAGGCAAATAACTCACCTCAAATGTGTACATGTTCTTAAATATTTTGCCTGTTTTCTGTGATATGAAGTAAGGCAAAGCAATTTTCCCTTTTGTGTTGAAAGTGGACGTGAGTGTAAATGTGCATACACTAGGCCATACAACTCTTGACTTGTGCAACATTATTCTAACCTCATCTTGTCATTCAATCATTCACTCTTTCTCTCTCTCTTGTTTCCCTAGCTAAACCCCCACAGGCTTTAGAAGACACAAGGAGTGACATTAGCATATTTCTGGTGATAAGAGGTGATGGAATTCATTTCTATTAAAGTGGAATTGGACTTTCTTTGCATGTATTAATTTCGAAGCCTTGGGACGATGCTCTAGAAAACAAACAGGAAATGGAGGAAAGGGCTGAGAGGAGGAAGAGGTGGATGAAGAGAAGAAAACGAAGATTCCTTTTGTGTTTTTATGGATACTGCAGAAGAAAATGCAGTGATAGTTACATAAGTAAATTCCTGTATGCGTATGATATGGTTGTATGATCAGCATTTTGTGTCAACATAAACATGTGTGAGTGTGTATATGTTCAAGTGCTACCTGGCCCAATAATCATTACGGATCAGCAGCAGATGTTGCATCACGGACAGGAAGTGGCCGTCGGCCTTGGAGTCCTTCACAGTGTTGACAAGGATGTCAAACACTTCCCTCACATCATTGAAGCCGAAATTAAGGCTCCATTAACACAATGAATAGATGAGTTTAACACAGATATTAAATACTTCATACAAAACATTTTCATTGACAATAAGTAAAAACTCTGTACGGTCTCGTATAGGGACAGTGTGATATACTCTCACCATATCTTGCACAACTACCACAATCAATTCTATCACATAAGTGTATTTTCAAAATGAATTTGACCAACTGTGTTATATTATCTTTTTGTTTATCATGTGCTAGTAGCAGATACAGTGTTGCAGTGAGGAAGGCAGACTGTGTTTACACTCTACTGTTACCCTGGGAGACATCTGGTGTTGAAAATCATAACTGCATGTCAAAAGCAGCAACAAGAATTACAGCAGCACTTTTTGACGTTTTTTAAAAATGCACTGCAAGGATGGTGGTGTTTTTATCGAAGAGTCAAAGAGCTGATAAAGTGTGTGTTGTGTGATAAAGATAACTGTCAAATCAGGACAAAATCATTATATAGACTCTGAAGTTTTATAAAGATAGACAATATTGGCATAGAATAAAGCTATTAAGGGACTAATTTCAGGTCCAGCTGTCCCACTTTTTTCCAAAAATGGTCAGATATGCATGTGTTCAGAACAATATCAAAGTGTAGTAGCATGAACTATCAATTCCACCTACAATAAAAATTTACATATAACTAAGTAGTTTCTACTGTTGTGTACCTTGACTGATTTTATCTGTACAAAACATATAATTCAGAGTTGCAATAAAGCATTGACATGAATGTAAAAAAGTCCAAGCAGGGTTAGAATGTCCCCAGAGCCTGAAACAGTATGCTTATTAAGAATGAAAATAGAAATCTGTCTTGGAATAAAGTAAGTAATCAGGCTGACTGCACAGGGGAAGAAAGGAGCAATCTGATGTTTTGTAGATAGCTGACTCATTATAATGCAGGGAATACATACATATAATTATATACACTACTCTCTCTGAATCCTGCATATTCTTTTATTATGAAAAGCCTTATGAAGGTTATTCCCTTGGCTCATCAAAGTAATGTAAACATCAAACCATGACCGTAGAAAAGCTATATTGAAACCAGCTATTCAGATTTTCAAAGTCAAAAAGTAGACCCTGACAATTTCTACAGAGGGTCAATTTTGCCCAGTGGAAGGATATTCCATCTCAATGCGGATGTCATCAAGACGTGCTTTGAGGTCCTCAGAGTCGTCTTCAGCCTGCTCATCAAACACCGTGAGTTGCACCCTCAGCTCTTCATTTTCTATCATCCGCACCTCCTGCAGGAGGACAATGGGGGATGAGTGACAGGAAGAGTGTAACAAACACTGAGTTTGGACGGTTGAGAAAAGGTTTTTACAGCATATGAGTGAGTGTCAGCCAGTCAGCAAGGCAGAGGCATCAAGAGTAAGGCTGTGCAAATGTGTGTTGTTTGAGAGTCACTTTGAGAGAAGATCAAAAGAGTGTTTTCTGTACCGTCAGCTGTTCTCTGAGTCCCAGTCTTAGTAGCTCAGAGCGAATATGGATCCTGAAGTCCAACTCTTCTGCCCGGCTGATCAAGGCGTTGATCAGCTGCATGCAGCCACCCTGCCAAAATCACATTGTATAGTCAGCTTCACAATTAAGACTAACTAGATGAATAAGAACAGTAATACTAAAGACAACAAATACAAAAACACTAGGGGATTTATAATTGTATGATATATAAAGTATGTGTGTACATGTGTATGTGTACCTTAAGAGCAATGTTGTGATTGTTCATGCCAGCAAGGAGAGGCTGAAACCTCTCAATGTCCCGTTTCTCTGCCTCCTCGGTAATGGACTCCAAAACACGCTCATGACTGCAAAAAACAAGCAGGCAATAAGATAAATGCAAAATTTGCCATGAAAATTTTTTTATGCAGAATGACTAGCACATTCTGTTGCTCTATTCGACAGATTTTATTGAAACCCGAGATCCAGGTCAAAGAGAAATAATTTCTGTATGTTCAACTTAATAAATTACATGGTGTCAACATTTTCTTAATGCTTACAGGTTCTCAGGATGTTCCAAAATTGAGATGGCAGAGAGCAGCTTGACAGCATCCACCATCATATGAGGTACCCTGGGGTTGATGGCTCTGACCAGCAGAGGAATTCCCTCATCTGACTCCAGCATGGATTTCAGACCATACTAAAGGGGAGACAAAACAGTTAAAGTATAACTGTCGGACTAGAACTAACACAAAAAACATCAATATAGATCTTGACATACAACACTAAGACTGACTTAATTTATATTGAATCAAATATCAAATTTCTAACAATATTTATGTTGCATCTATTTCACTAATGCTGTGTTTTTTCAGTTTTAAAAAGTTTTTAACTTATGATATTACCTAATCAGAACTATGTTTCTTAAATAAAAAAAGAGTTCTGTAGCATTGTGTCTCTCGTATGCACCACATCACTGATTCACACTGGTGTATAATTCTTAAAAGTGATAGATCCTGAAGAGATCACGATCTAGGGTTAGACACATCACCACACTGAAAACTCAAAGCACTCTCGAAGGTTACTGATGACTGCGTTCACTGTGATGAATCGATTGAAGTTGGTCACACTGACTTCATAATGCCCTCTAGTGGATGAATTGCTCCATTACAACGAGGAAAGATAACAGGATAAAGATTATTGTATTACTAGTTTTATTGCTTAAATGCAACAACGTGCATCCGTAGAAAAGCATTAGTATTAGGTATATAGATGTCCATAAAGAAACAATGATTGTTCTTACCTTGTTGTTCATAAAGGCTTTTAGACAACGAATGATCTCGTGTTGACATTTCACTCCCATCATTCTAGTTAGTGATGCGAAAGAAGACAGACATAGGAAAAAATTACAACTATGCATTGATATAGAGTACAATTGCCTTTCTGTGGTTGAAGTGTCTTACGGGTACTCGTCTTTGTCCTCCTGTAGTCTTCTCAGCAGATTCAGCAGCAGTGCCAGCCCCTCATCTCCAAAGTTCTGCACCCAACTGAAGTGACAAGTGTACATGATCAGTACACCGAGCTTCTGACATACACACATTTTTTTAAAGGACAAGCATGACCTTCTTGAGTCACATGATACATACATAATACAGTAAGTTCAATGGAAATAGCCTGTATGAGGGACTGCAATACTTTTAGCGTCTTTTAAGTTAATATTTAATAGAAGCTTCTTTGGCAGAAATTTAAGCACATTAATAGGTCTGTATCGCCTTTGTACATCTGCACACTGTGATTTCTTATCTTTTTCAAAATGGCAAAAAGGCTTAAGCTCTGTCAGATAACAAACTGATCGTGAAAGATCAGTCATTTTTAAAAAGTCTTGCCAGAAAGTTGGATTGAGGGCAGGACTTCACACTAGGAGACTGACAGTTACTATGAAACCATTTCTTCCTTTATCTAGCTCTGTGTTTTATTTTATTCTCACAGGCAGTGTATTACCTGACAGGGTTGTTATTGAGTGAGACTCTCAGAGATTCCAGACAGCTGAGCAGTGGTGTGTCTCGGTAGTCTGCCTTTAACTCCTGGATGTACATCATAGCAGATTTGGAGCTCTCCTTCTGGTTTTGGCCCTAATCAACAAAACACAAACAGACAGTGTGTACACAAATTTGGAATTTTGATGTTCTTTGAGCTACTCACTTTCAAATATTTAATTACATTACACCTGCTGCTACTATTACTACTACTACTTCCCAATGATGGTTAAACTATACATTTCAGCAGTAAAAACATTTGTATAATTTATAAATAGTACATTGAATATAAATTCAATGTGTTTTAAAAGTGAATAATGACAAAACAGGCCCATATGTAGCACTATGTGTTAAGCATATGGGCCGAGGCCCTACAGGACAATATGGCATGTTAAGGACCAAATGTTTTGTAACTCGTCCTGATATTAGCCAGTACTGAAAAAACAATGACTTGCATGAATCTGTCTGCAAATTTCTTTCAGCACACTGTGTTAGCAATTTATTTTGGTACTGACAGCTTTAGACGTGTGGAGGTACTGGGAGACCATCTCTCGCTTGATCATAATGTCTTTTTCCCTTAGAGGCCGCTGCTTCTCCTCATTCAGGTTCATATCCACCTGGAGAAAAACGGGAAGAAGTAGATATGAAGAAAAAAGAAGTAGGATGGAATAGGATAAACAAAGTATTTTGAGACAAGGCGATAGTATAATGAAAAATCTGTAGACTGAAGCAATTAATAAGTAAAAAATGCATACTAAAATGGAAATTGTATTGTATTTATACATGTCAGGAATTACATTAAGGTATTTGAGTGAGATTCTTACAGATGCTCAGTTTAAAAGTTTGAGCAGGGGTGGTTTTGAGCTGAGATACTGAACAGAATTAATAGATAACACATTACTTTCTAGTTTGTTTATTAAATTGTTTTCTTTTTATTGGGGGTTTTATTAAAGGTATTGGGCTAATTCTACACAATGGGTCCTCAGGGAGATAATGAATTCTCCAAAAGCTGAACTGAACTGTGAAACACACACACACACACACACACACACACACACACACACACACACACACACACACACACACACACTTTTAATATCTATCTTACCAGCATCTGTTCGAAGAGTTCCAGGACATATTCATCAGAATGATCATGCAGCATAGCACTTTGCTGAGGATTTATCTCATAGTTCGCAGCTGACGAGTGTCGCTGACCGGGCGTATGGCCAGGCTTCTCCTTGTCCTTTTTCATCCTCATGCTGGTGAAACGCTCCAACTGGACAAGTTAGAGGAAAGAGGTCAAAGTGAAAAACTGCAAAATGTAACCATCACTGAAAGGCCACAAAACAAGGTAGCAATCCCTAATCAACTCACAATTTGAAAACAGGCCTACTTTGTTCATAAAATTCCCAAAGGCTATTTCTCCCTTCATTTTGGGATATTACATTTTCTACAACAGTAGAAACCTTTCAAAAATGTGAGACAATGATTAGGGATTAGAGACGTTAAAAGTTTTTGCCGACAAGCATTGTCACACAAAGTCAACAGGAAGTTAACACTGATAGGCACACAACATAACACTCAATTTGAAAAAACGGGATTTCTTCCCTCTGGTTTTATTGACTTTGTGTGGTAAATTGCCAATACTTGCACTCAGTGTTTATATAATATATTGCCAAATGAAAAACACTGAAAAACATCAATGTTAGGATACATGTAACCCTTGGCACATATTGCCTCAGTTCCATAATGATGGAGGGGCAACACTATCATGAATAATAGTTTGTACAATTCTGGTATCCTCCGTTTCAGGCACATGAAGGCATCACTAGCCTATGTGCCAAGTATTTCATGCTATCAGTGTGCATTTTCAAAGCATGCACATCCAATGTGAGTACAGCACAGGACAAAACACAGATACTCAACAACATTTGTGTTACAGTGGATTAGGTGTTTAGGTGTGTGTGACAGACTGTGACATGACATTAAATGGATAATGGTGAGTCAGTTTTATCAAAGACCACAGTGACAGCTGGACAGATCAAGCACATAGGTGATGGTGGCAAGCAGTAATAAACCTACCTCGTCAGGAATCAGCCGTTTGAGTTTCTGTAAAGGATGATCGTATGAAAGAAAAAAAATGGCACAGAAGGGTAAGAAAAATCAAACAGATGGCAGGGAGAAGCAGTGACAAGAAGGGAGTCAGATGAAGGGAGAGAAAAAGAATCATTAGACAGAAATCAATATGACAGGGAATAGATCCAGGAACCCTTCTACAGAGTTTAGTGATTCACAGGAGGACAGAGTGAAATACTATAAAATCAGAAATAAATCACTGTTATAACTCAATCCAGTCATTCATACACATCTCTAGAGAACTAATAAGTTTAAATGTAGAGCCTAAGTTGAGGTAATTAAGACATCTGAAAGGTAATAATTACATGTGTGATGTATTAGCAGCAGATCAACAGTCATAAAAAGTCAAGGGCAGATGTACATCAATACATTTTTAAAAAGGGAAAGTGCCAACCATATCTGAAATACACTTGCATGTCTTGGCCACTAGGTGTCAGGCTACGCCCAATAATGTCCCCATAGGAGACCCATTGTCAGCAGTACCACTTTTGAACCGCAAAAACAAATGCCCTGATAAGGTCCATAAAGAGTACATTAAAACATCTCAAATAAGAATAATCTAAACTAACGTTAGCATTACAAAAGTGAAAGAAAAAATAAGATGAAGTGAAAAATACTGTTTTCAAGAATCTTAAGACTAGGATGATATCAACATTTTGTTCTTGACTGCAAATTTGCCTAATATTCAAACTTAAAGGCAAGCTACTTTCCATGTATTCTGACAGAGGAAAGCAAATGTCAATATGTCAACAACTGCCACATGTCCTTCGGTTAGCAAGTCTGGAGAATGTGAATTTTCTTCCTCAGTACAATACCACCAACAGTACAAAAACTATTGTTAATAAGGAAAAGTTATGTGTATATGCCAGCTTTCACGTTCAAATAAATTATTATTATTATTACTATTACGTTGCATTTTGTTTCATTCAGTTTTCATTCGCTACTCCTCCCAGTATCCCATATGACGCCCTTTGTCTTGTGTTTCTAGAGTTTTGAGTTTTTATGAAACTGTTAATATGTAATATTTCTTAAATGGTGTTTGGCTTAATCTTTTCCCAGGCAACAGGGAGCTTAGTTATATTCAAACTGAACTGCTATGTGTATGTCTTCATGTTTAGTTGATATAAAAGTTGAGGCAAAGAAATGATTTGCCATCATTGGGGAAACAATTTTGTCTGGAATTGCACCAGAGGGAGAAGGGGGCACTGATTAGGCAAATTCCCACGGTATTTAAAGAACTCAAGCAAAATGCAAAGTATGTTGTTCCATTTTATTTAGATACAGTTTCGAGAATGGCAGTGGCTGGTGTTAAGGGGCGCACCACAGAGTGTGCGCCAGGCTCAAGTAGGTTCTCCAGTGCACTCAGCTCAGCAGTGGAGTCCTGTCAGCCAGGCCCCAATTTGTGATAATCATAAACTAGTGCTGTCAGTTAAACGCGTTATTAATGGCGTTAACGCAAACCCATTTTAACGGCGTCAATTTTGTTATCGCAAGACTAACGTTCTTTTTGGCCTAGCACACTTTGTAGTTTTTTTCACATGCTGTTGCAACAACTAGTAATGTTAGAAAAACTACAACACCACACCGGATCTAGCTAGACCGGAAACAAAACAACAGGCACGCCGCACACACTTGTTTAAGAGTAGTAGACGTTACGTTTTGAGTGGATGGCGAGCATGAGACGCCGAAATGGATGCCAATAATATTCTGAATGGAAAGTTAACTTTTAAAAAGTTGCCAAATGGTTCCAAGACAAAAGTGATCTGTGTGTTTTGTCGTTGTGAACTGAGCTATCATCGCAGCACGTCCAGTCTGAAATACCACTTGATGGCCAAGCACACAGCTGATGCGACTTCTCCGCCCCCTCGTCAAACCCAGGCGACAACGGATGATTTTTCTATAAAAACAACATTTGCACAAAGCAAGCCGATCCACTTTTCCATGTTGATAAGAGCATTAAAATGAGAAAAAATAATGGGACAAGAAGAAATCAAGGGACATTTAGAATAGATAAAAATGTGCAATTAATTGCGATTAATTGCGAGTTAACTATGACATTAATGCGATTAATCGCGATTAAATATTTTAATCGTTTGACAGCACTATCAGAAATACATACAGTATATCCACAATAAGAAGGCATGATCATACTGTCAAGTTATTTAACATATTGGCCATAGTGTTATGGCCACCTGGCCAAATATAATTTCAAGGTACTTGTACTTTACTTGTGTATTTTCATGTTATACTACTTTGTACTTACATTATACATTGTACTTTTTACTCTATTACATTTATTTCACAGATATTACTTGTTAGTTTTCAGATCAATATTTTATAAAAATGTCAAAAACATTAAAAACATTTGATCTTCATAAAATAACTAAAATAGCATTATTAAAAATAGTCTACCCAAAGGTATAGCTAAATTGTTATGATTCATGTTGACAACATGCTGATTACATGTACATGTCAATAAATCATAATGAATATTCCAATAATTTGTGACAAATATAACTCTCTAAATGGGGACACTTTGCATAATGACTCCTATATAAGTAAGACTTTGGATGCGGGATTTTTACTTGGAATGTGTAATGAACCATCTTTACATCATGAAAGGCTAGTTGCGGCTGCTTTTTGCCGTTAGACTTGAGTACTACGCATGCAATAATGAACTTACAGACGTCAGCAGCATTTCTTTGTAGTTTAGAGTGATAAATCGCCCCAGAGTACTTTGCTGTCAAAATATGTACCTGCTATGCAAAAAATAAGTCTGTCTTTCATCTGTGTGCGTTTTATATTTCATCTGAGGACTGAGCTTTATTTTGTGATCTTCCCATCTGGTTTTGCTTGATACCATGTCTGTAAAACATGGGGTTCTAAACATGGGGAAATATGTGTAACTTTTCTGTTTTCAGCCAAATGCTGGTACAATATGCAAGTGGCTGGTAGATTTGCTTCACTCACCAGCCAGAAAAAACAACAGTAATCTATTGAATAGCTGGTAAACATTTGACCATCCACTAGCTGTTTGGCTGGTGGACAAAGCCCCTACAGCTGTCGCCAGATGTACAATGTAGAGTTACATTTGGAAAATTATTGCTTGTTGAACACCTGTTGAAGAAAAGTATGGAGTATTCCTTGTAACAATCTCAGTGTAGTTATTAAGACTTCCTGTGGCCTTGTCAGTGGATGTCTGTACATCTATAATAAGGTGCGTTGTCCCTTTACTACAAGTGCCACAGCTGCACACGTTTATTACGAAAGAGAGAGAGCGAGAGAGAGAGAGAGAGAATGAACTCTGACCATAGAAACATGAGTCAGCTTACACAGCTGCCATTAAATAACAGACCCTCAAACCATGCCCACAGACACACAGGCACAGAAAATAATATACACACATATGTTGTGGTGCTATTCACCCTACAGAACGGAAATATACAGCTGAGAGTAGACACAGTGAATTCTAGGTGATCACACAGGAAACTGAATACGAGTGTATCAGGAGGAAAGCAACAGTGACAGATGGGGGAGGAAGAGACAAAAGCCATTCGTGAATTCAACTGTTAGTGTTAAGTTCCGCTTTCCAACCCACAAGTACAGTTAAGAAAACAGGCACCCATAGACTAAATTAGCCAGTGTTTGAGCCAGGGTTGTCTATAAGGCAGTCAAATGGGCCTAAAAGTACTGAATGTCTGTCTGTCTGAGGAACAATAAAGCAACAATGAACCACTTCAGAACCACTTTCACAACTGCTCTGAGTACCAGGGCCTCCATTAAATGGATGACGTCACCTTCGATTCAAGACCTAACTGGTTATTCATAGAACTGTGCTGTTAGCTTAATTTAATATCAAAATATTAATATGAATATTTTTCAGATACACCGTATATTACAATATGACGATGACTGCAATATTATGTATCAAACTGTTTGTTTGTTTGGTGGAAATAACTTTTCCACTGTTAAGATTTTTAATTACAGTCTGCTTGGAATCATTACACTGAACAACATGATATGATCAGTTATCAATCCATTGACAATAACACTTACTTATTCACCAGCTGTGGTTAGTCATGCTAGCATGCAAGTGTAATAAACACAAACATCTGCATGAATGTGTGTGTCATTGATCACTGACATAACACTGGAAAATAATCGAAGAAATTCCAACTATGTGCTAGTTCCAACTTCTCAAATTTGATGATTGGCTTCTCTGCACTATTTAATTCCCTTGTAAATGGATAAACTATGGGGTTTGGACAGCAGGTTGGAGAAACCAAGAAATCTGAAGACATCTCCTTGGGAACTAGGAAATTGTGATGGGCATTTTTCACAATTTTGTGACATTTTATAGACCAAATGATTAGATACATCTTTCCTAAAAGTAACTGATTATTCAATAATGAGAGCTCCATCCAATTGGGCTCAGAAGGTCTTTCTCTAATTTTCAACATATACCAAACTCACAGAATTCCTGAATTATAATGCAGAGTGCTCCGCAAGCCTAGTCTGCCATCTAATTGAGCTGATTCCTCTAATCAGCCACAGTGAGCTGGTTAAATTAAATGGTACATGTGGCGCCCTCTCACTTTGAGTGAACATCAAACCACTCACCAAGGTAAGAAACTTTTACACAGGTTGGTTGAGACACCCGCCAGCTTGTAACAGTAATGTTACATTATTCGGATTTCTTAGAAGAGAAGAAGTTTCATCCATCACTGAGCACTGGGAAAATTTTTGTTTGGTTTTAAATGACTATTGCCTATAGACTTGACATACTAGGGTTTCCCTCAAGAAATTGGTAATAAAAGACCTAAACAATTGCCCCATCTGACTGTCAAAAAAACTGACCAATAAGCAGCAGCAAAGTTTCCTAAAATTGGTTAAGTTGTGATATGCATGATCATAAATAAATTAAAATTAAGTTTGAATAAGATAAGATCATGATTGCTGCTTTGTAATTTTCT